CAGTATTAAACACGTATTTATACCGATTTCGTCAGGCTCCGCAAATTCTTCAAAAAGAACACAAAGAATGGCCTTCTCAGCTGCCATAGTTGCAACTCTTGCGTCATCAGAACAGGGTGTTCAACGCACCACCGTTTCCGTTTAAAAAACGTTTTGCACCGTTTTTGTCGGGGCTGAACGCAGCCCAGGTGAACTACTTGACTAATTCCAGTACAGAACCTATAGGATGTTGCGCATGCGCGACTGAACGAATCACTGCCCGAGACGACTCGTTCTTCCAGAGTCACATTAAAGATTCGTTCAAAATGAACGAATCGTTCAAGAACAACCCAACACTATAATTATTATTTGAATTTCTTAAAAAAAGACAAGATTTGAAAGCTGAGACTTTGTTTCATACCAGAAGTAACCTGCTATTTCTTGTCTGTCGGTGCATTGTCTGTTTCCTCTTTGCTCCGTGATGTATTTTTCACTGCGTAAGAACATGATGTGTGGCGTGAGAGCGACATGGCTTGTCGGACTTAACAACAGTAACTAAGTCTTTTGAGGTTGTTTGCAATCACGTGATTCTGATGCCGCGCGAAATTCAGATGGAGGGAAGGAAGTGAAAAGCAGAATGGATGAGATGGAAGTCCGTACTGTACTAGTGTACCAGCTGGTTTAGATACTATTACAAGAGAAAGGTATAAACAGAAAATAACAACATATGTTGGGCGTGATCCTTATGTTATGAAGAGGAGCGATTTTTCAACTAAATTGAAATACTTGCCTGCCATCGAGGCAGTGGATATAGGCTAAGCAACTAACCCTGACTGCAAACAAGCTATTTCTAAAGTGAATCCAGCATTTATATGAGGGATGTGGGATATACAGTATGTCACTCCTGAAACTTTGCTGCATGTACAGGCCAGGGTATGTACAGGCCGCTGGTCCTGTTAGCAGCAAGTAAAACAAAACTTTTATTCAAATTCTGAATTGATTATAGCCTAGAAAGCATTAAAAAAAGAAAGTAAAAAAAGACAGTTAATAGCGCTTCCATATAATCACTAAAAAGCTGTCACTCACTTCTATTTATCGCAGTCTCACAATGTTCAGTTATAATCAATGAAGCTCTCTATATAATATATTATTTACATCGTGTCTACGTGTAGCGTTTGGCATTGAGTGAATTCTGACTGTCTCCTGCTGAATGCGTGAGAGTTGGCAGCCCTGTATCTATATTTCTTTATTAATATCTTAATATATTATTAATATCTTAATATATTATTATATCTTATATTAACCATTTGCACACACGAGCATTATCCGACTCGGCTCCTCCCGACCACAGACGCAGGTTTACAATCCACTTTTCTTGCGTTTTTCAGTCAATTTCTTGCCTTTCCCACCTTATAAACAACAACATTTCCGTACATGATAAAAGCTCCTTGTGGTTTCTCGGTTTGAGCATCCATAAACAATGCAAAGCATAGGCATTTCGAGTTTTTGCTAGCGATTCCTATATAGAGAAATCACTTCTTGCCCTCCAGCTGCATTTCGCGCCACAGCAATGTCATGTGCAAACAACCTAGCCTGTGTTTGACAGCTCAAGTGTTCAAATTAACTTTTGACTTGTATATGTATGATATCTTTATCATGCCACTGTCGCTGTCTGGATATTTTAGTGGATAGATTCTTGGATAATGAGACAAATATCTTGAGGACAGTTAATTCAATGTAAAATTATCTTGGTTTTGCTAACACTATACCTTACTTTTGAACAACCATACCTTACTTACTGAACAAATCAGCCATATATAGGCTTCCATATATTTTGTCTTACTTGTCTTTGTTATTATCTTTTTTGTCTGTGTGTGACTAAATAGATTTCATAATTTGATGTAGATTTAAAAATACAGTAGAGTGCAAAAGTCTGAGACCACGAATGCAAATGTTTGATCTGTTCTCGTTTAATACAGTATTTTTCATCAATAACTATATAAACAAATCTTATTATTGAGTGAAAGACTGAGAATGATCAGAAAAAAAAGAATCTTGTGGAAGTCAATACAAGCAAAAGATTATTTAGATTGACCTAGATTTCTTAGCTCCGTTTACAAATCGTACAACTTTTTGTTTATTTCCAGTGTTAAAGAAACAATAGTCTCAGACTTTTACAACCTACTGTGTATCTGGTGATTCAAATCGTTAAACAATTTTACATCAAGGCTGTCATAGTGACTAAATAACTGCAATTACAGGAAGTGTGCCGTAATTAGAGGGTCATGCTTCGCGTTCAGACAGTTTCATTTCGCTCCCATCGAGTTAAAAACACAAATAAATGCACAGCCCTTTGCACTCTGCATTGAAAACATTTATATGAACGCGTTGTTGCACCTCTGAGAACTTTTAAGGCATATTCTGTGGCGTTTATATAAGCATTTTGACGGGTTATGTCACAGAGCTGTAAAAACTGTTATGCTCACCAAGTGAATGAATCGCGTTTGTGCCGAACTCTTATTACAAAGCAAAAACAAACACTCTTCTTCGATCCATGAACGTTTCTCTCAGTTAATTTGTCTTCTATGATGTGCAACACAAACACCTCTGCTAAAACCTCAGAAAAAGTAGTCTGGGGTTTCATGACCCTTTAATAAAGAAGATGCGATCAGATGCGTTCGGCTAAATAGTAGTTCACTTTTGTAGTAGCTGGTAGCTGAAATATGGCCAGAAAAAAAACCTTATACAAACATTATAGAAAAACATATTCCGATCCGTATATGACAGCGGTCCAAAAAAGATAAACTTACCGCGGTGTTTTGTGGAGAAAATGCTCTCAACGTCAATTCCGTCACACCTGTTGAGCGCTGTGGCGATTGGATGAAATCATTTGGAGGGCGTTCCTTCTCATGAATAATGTGGAATCCTGCTCAGAATCGAATGTATTTCATTTCCTCGCGGTTCTTCGCGTCAATACGGCACAATCTTAATGCTGCTTCAAATTTTATTTAGAACGAAAATAAAGTTTTGTTTAGAACGAAACAAAACTAAAGTTACTGAAATTTTAGAACTAAATATGTACTTTGAAATATAAAACACTTTCCCCTACATTCAAATACTACTACTTCTACTACAACTACTATCATTTCATAAAATGATACCATGTTTCAAGAATGAGCCACGCTTATTCGTTAACATTGCAAAAAAAAATGTGTTTTCATGTGTTTCATTTAGTCTGCGAAACGCTTTTAAAACCGATATAAGGCTCTTAGTAAAATTGGAACTCCTCTTAACATTGTCTCTATAAGTTATCAAATTAAGAATGTAATTTTGCTGAAAGGTAGGCTATCAAATATAGATCTACTACAATTTTGCTACGAGTACGTGATCGAATGAATTTTCAGTCTTCGCTGCATTTTGTACAGAAATTGCTCGTCTTTGACTGCCCCCTTGTGGCCAGTAGTTAGAAGAATATGTAGGTAAAATCTGCACAGTGCAAACTTCACTAGCGCTGTTCTGCTTTATTCTCGTTGTATGGAGATTACAGATTTGTTTAATTTACACAGAATAGTGCCTTAGATAACAGCAGCCTCTTCTCGTTGGCAAATGCTTTTAATTTAATATTGATAAGTTAATGTGTTGTTGGTAAATAAAATGCACTGATGAATTATAAGAATAGTAGTGCATCTTGATTTTTTTTTTTTAATCTGGTCGAACTGAATAAACTCTAATGCGTTCATGGAGACAGCTGGAAATCCAGCCATTGGCACATTACAATAAGCAAGTTGTAGTTATGAACTAACATTCCTGAATCATGAATAGAGAACATTCTGCAGCCTTTCTAATATTTTTGAGGTGGATTTTAGAAATGTAGTCTTGAATATCCAGACTTTTGACTAATGGCATGAAGTCTGGTCCACACTGAATCTTTGATCCACTCACTTAGACAGGAACAGACCATCAAACATAAAAGTTTTAAAGCTGCAATACGTTTTGTGAATTCCATCCTGTACATGTAAATTATTTGAAGCTTCTCCTGGATGTCGTCCAAGAAGCTGAGGCAGCTGATTGCGCATTTCCAAGTTTTTTTTAAAGTTATGTTTTTCTTTTTTTTTTTTTTTTGCCTGAGGGGAAATTCAATAGCTGCTACACTATAATAGTATATAGCAGGTTTCATCAGATTTTGTCTTCTTGTTAATCTAGTCACAGCACCAAACACCTCTGTTCAATCTTGTTTTTTTTCCCTAACATATGCTGACCTTGCAACCTTCAAGTGCTCAACAATAACTGGTAAGTTTTTTTTCCTCCATCTGGACTCCATTTTCCTTGCCTCTGTTACAAAGTGTTCATTGGTGTGTTAATGTTAACTAATGCAGAACTTTTGAAAAGGTTTAGTTTTGTTCCAGAGACGGTTCTTAAAAAATTAGTGTAAATATATACATTCAAGCAACATATCACTCATATTTTTTTCTTTTATAATAGATGTTTTACCAGTGCCTGTTTGCTTGAAATGGTGAAATAAGACTGTATTTTTTCTTGTATGTTGCCTTGCACATCACATCTCGGGACAGTCGCTAATAAAGGCCTTGGGACAGTGGCATTGTTGTGGTGCCAACAGCTGCTCAATTTTCCTGGAACTCAGGGATTCATTAGTCACGTAGCTTATAGCCATGTGGCAGAACTCATATCCAATACTTCCAGAGAACCAAGGAACTGGCATTAAGATGAACGGGAATGCAAACGGATATCTTAACTTTTCTTGTGACATTCCCTTTCAGTTATTAGACTGAAACTGCAAAACAATTGATAAAAATTCAAAGTAAGTGATAAATCAAAAGGTAAGCAAACATGCAGATAATTAAAAGCATATATCAGTGATGAAACAAAAAGAATCGCACTTTGACTATACATTAGATTCATGCATCAACAGTTTGAAATATTTCTAACAGGGTCTTGTATAATGTCATTCAATAATTCACACTGTAGTTTCAACAAATAATAAAAAAGACCTTTTTAAATAGATCAATACTTTTATTGAGTGTCATTTTGGAGTGTCTGGGTACCAGACAAAAAACATTTCAAAACCTTTAACACCTCAGCTTTCCTGTCCTGTAGCTAACCGGGACCTATATTGGAACATCTGTGCAACGTAATGATTATCATTTTATTAAAAAATAAAATAAAAAAAGAGAGAGAAAGAAATTCAAAAACAATACTTAACTCTGAACATTCTGCACAAGGAAAATACAATTTCAAGCACAACCTAAGTCTGATAGTTCCCTCCTTATTGTAAAATAAAGATGAAACAAATAGTGTATGTGTCTGTATGCACTGATGATTATTTGTATTTCCATTTGCATTAGACAACCTATTTGAATTCCCTACAATTCCTAACACAAAGGGCAAGACTAAACCAGTGGTCTGCACATAGTTAACAATTTTGTAACCGTTACAAATCTCCCGTCATACTTCCGTCGGCCACGTCCTTCTGTACCATCTCACCCTCGTTTGGAATTATCTTAGGATGACGCAGGGTTAATGACATCAGTGCACTGCGGATCACAGAAAGGACCGAAGCGGCCGTACACATCTTTGGCCCTGACGGCAAAATAATATGTCGATCCCGAGACAAACTGGGTCAAGGTGCATGCCATGGGCAGCGGCAGCGCCTTCACCTCCCCGATCTTCTTCCACAGTGACTGAGCCGATGCACCAGTGCCCGATGCTGCCCCCTGGTGGTCCTGGTGATAGGCGTACAGGTGATAGGTATCTACAGCGGCGCAGTTGCGGTCAGTTTCTGCAACACACCAGGATAGGACGATCCCGTTTTGGCTCTGGACGCGGGCCAGTTTAAGTTGGGGCTGCTGCGGAGGGGATGTGTGGGCGGCCTCGGGTGGGAGACGTGCCGGTGGCGATGGTGCCAGTGGTAATGGTGGAAGAGTGGTGGAGGAAGAGGAGCTTGGACGGGATGGAGAATCCTGAGAGAACAATGAGTGAAGGTAAGAAAGATTACAGGAGGCACTATGTGTTAAAAATACAAATAAAATGTTAAAATTATGGCCTTTGTATCTTCTTTACATTTTTATGGACACACACTTACCACAGAGGAACGTTGAGCTGATCGAGCTCCTGAACCAGGAAAAATATAAAACATGTCAGCATACAGCTCTGAATTTTATAACTACAGTCAAAAAGTAGAATAAAAGGAGAGAGAAGGGGGAAAAAAGGTGTACTTTTCACTCACCAGCATTAGTGGTAGAGCTGACTAAAGCAGGCGGCCCAGATGCACGCTGGGTAGTGATGGGGGAAACAGTGGCTTTCTGGACTCCAGTCACTGCACAGCATCCACAAAAAGAGAAAAGTATTAGTATAACGGTTCTCATAACTAGGATGAGAAAAATTTGCAGTGAGACTTGATTCGAATATTGGGTTGAACTTGATCCTCAAGTCATTGGTTAGATCATTTTTTTTTACAAAAATCTAGTGATTTCAGTAGGAATCCGCACAATCTGGAGCTTCGTGTGAGGGTGAAAGCTCACCAACAGAACGCTCTTGTTTTTAAAGTGACTTTTGTGTGAGCTGTGCTTCTTCATACATCATTACACTAACAACAAACAATTGACTTTTTTTTCCTGTAAAATTTCACTAATGTGATTGCACCTTGCAATACAGAAATAAAGAGCAGCTGTGTTTTACCTTGAACATCGTCATCATCTTCAGTCAGATCTATCACAGAACCTTTGGGACGCCCGGTCTGTAGAGAGAGGAATAAAATTTAGTATAAAACTGCACTTTTTGACAAAAGTGGTATTTGCAATAACATTTTAAACATCACATTGTTTACAATGAGACACTGCTTACCTGAGAGGGTGTTTTCGGTGTTGAGGCCTGATTATCTGTTAAACATGAAAGATTAATGGGATTACATTATGAAACAGCCCATAACATTTTAAAATATACATTACATAATACTATATAATAAATAAAAGCAGTGCGAGAATTATTATTTTTAATTAATTAATATACATAACTAAGCGAGACAGCAAGTTTTATAGTCACAACAATAATCAAGATGCTCCGAATTCTCAAAAACTAAAATAATGAAAACATACTGCTACATTTAATCGCCATTTCAATATATTTAATTAATAATGTATTATTCCATGCTTTAAATATTCATTCATTTTGTGTTATATCCCTCAATGGGAAAAAACAAAAAATTACAAAACAGAATAAAGCACTTTTGGCCACTTTATTTTAAGGTCCAATTCTCGCTATTAAGAAACTATTGACTTTTGCTTCAATAAACTCCTAATTTGCTGATTAATAGTTGGTAAGTTTAGGTATGTAGAATATGGTGGTCATATAACCTTTATAAGTACTAATAAACAGCCAATATGTTAATAATAGGCATGCTAATAAGCAACTAGTAAATACGGAGAATTGGTCCCTGTACTAAAGTGTTACCGCACTTTCCATTTAGCAGATATTATTAAAAAAAAGTGCCCGCATGATAGACATTCTCTTATACCTGTCTTTGAGGCCAGTGCGGAAGCCGATGGTGGACCAGCTGCAGCTGCTGCTGATCCTGTCGCCGCAGCTCCTGTGGTTCCTGGAGAAGAGGCCGCTGTAGACACTCCCACGACAGCAGCACACTGCATAGGTGTTCGAGCTGTTGTCACGGATATCCCTGTGCTGGGTGAACTAACGGTCCCTGTGCCACCCGGATACACGGCTCTCGCTAACGATACCGCCGGAGCTGACGATGTCGAGGAAGATGAAACAACATTGCCTGCTGGCTTTTGAAGGATGAAGGTGGTGGCAGGTGTAGTCATCTTTGCCTTATTGTTGCTACTAACCGTAGATAATGACGACACCGGTATTAAACCGACACCACCAGCAGTACTAACCAATGCCCCACTTTGCCCATTTGCCATCGCTAAAGGCAGCTGAATCAAAAGCGGCTGAATAGACACTGACTGACCCCCTGATGTTGCTGGGGTGCTAGTCATGACCCCTGTACTGGGTCCAGTCTTAAGTAGTAGGGTGCCTGTCTGAGACTGGCCAGGCAAAGAGGTGGATGAGGGAGTGGAGCTTGTAGTTGTGGAGATGATCTGTAGAATGGGTGCAGGAGAAGCTAGTGCGGAGGAGGTTGGTGTAGTCGGTGTGGACAGAGGTTTGGGCTGGGCTGGGATTGCTGAGGGGCGAAGGAAGAAAAAAAGAGTAATTATTCTAATCATTTGAGTTTTTAAAAAAGCATTAGAATGACAACTAGAATTAATAATGTTGTAAGCATTTTATAAAGCTCACCAGGTGTATTAGAACCAGCGGGTGCACTGGACAGTTTGGAATCCATCATGGTTTTAACAGTACTGTAAAGGAAGAGAAATGGTAGGGAAACATTAAAATAATGGCAATAACACAAGCATTTCAAATATTATTTACTTAAGCTTTTTGAATAAAGCGCAGCGCTAATATGTGCAGTTTTTCCAAATTAGTCTGTGGCCAAAAGGGCGTCTAGAAGGCGTTTGTGGCTAGCTAGCTCTTTGTTCAGCCATTGTGGAAAAAGGATGGTGAACTGTCTAGATGTTGGCCAGTTTTAAGAGCAATTCACAGAAAATGCATTCTTGCATTCCACTGTGTTGCTTTTCCATTGATTTTCTATATAAACTTACACTAGATACACATTTTTGACCACTGAACTTGCGTCTTATTTTTATTTTATTAATTTTGAAAAAACCAAATGACTGTAATGTCTTGGAATGGAGGAAGGATGGCATGATCTTGTGAAGATGAATAGAGGTCGATGTGTCATATGTTTACCGTTGCGGGATAGTCATGTTGGTTGCATTGTTGGCCTGAGCAGCAGCGGAGGCAGCATGAGCCTGATTAACAGGAAACAAAGTGCATTTCAAGTTAGAAGAAAACTAATCATTCAAAAGCACATTTTGCTTGCAATCAATCAGTGAAAAGAGTATTATATTTATGGATAAGGACCATTATTGGCTTACATCCTTATCCCATGACTCCCATAATGTTTTTCACCAAACCACTTTGACCAAATCACACAATAACTAAAATTTTTTAGCAGTGATTCCCACTCTTACCTCTTGAGTTCTCTTTGAGTTCTCCGAGGCCTGATTAGCAGCACCAAACTTTTTGGCCAGCCGGGAAATCTTGGCCTAAAATGACAACACAGTTTTATTGATGTTAAGTATCAAGTTTCACAGTTCCCTTCTTTTAATTGTTTTTATTGGATGTACAATACCATTCATTCTTGTATTTGAAAACTTCAAAACTCACCTGTAGCGTGTTAAAATGCTGCACCGTATTCTGTTGTTTGGTTGCATTGTCAATCTTCTCCACTCTCTCTTTCAGCTCTTTTATGCTTCGGTCAAATACAGTCAACTGCAGCACCCGTAACCGTTCCTCAACTAACTGCTGTACCATCTAATAGGAAAAGAGACAGAAAAAGATTATTATTACTACATATATCTGATAGCCTGGAAAGTCCTGGAAATCATGCTAAATTTTCTCTTTTCTTACAGAAGACTTTTGGATGTCTATCATTAATGTTATCTACCAATATCTATTATTACAGACAATTTCCTAAATTCTCCCCAAAACTCAGAATTATAGGGTTAGTTCACCCATACAGGAAAATTCTGACAAGTGAGAACCAAAGCGTTTTGTTCTCAGTTTACCATATGCTTATAAAAGCCTAAATTAAAGCAACCGTGTCTCTCCAGAACACGTTTATTTGTGTTCAAAAGATGAGTAAACATTTTCAAAATATATTATTTTATGTTCAACAGAAGAATACAGGTTTAGAACGACAAGAAGGTGAGTAAATGACAGATTTTTTTTTTTTTTGGTGAACTATCCCTGTAAGATTCATTTACTGTAATCATGTATCTCTGTATCCCATCTTTTTATATGAAAATGTGCTGTTGTACATTATAAGAGACTCTGTGCATAAATGCGAGGATTCAGGTAAAAAAATAAACAACAAACCTTCTCCAGTTTATGGCGGCTCCCAGCACTGGCTGTGATTTTCAGCTCTAGCTGAGCCTCCAGCTCCTCACCCTCCAGCCTTGCTCGTTTTCCATCTCTCTCCTCCTCGATTTCTTTGTCATCTTCATCTTTCTCCTCAGACAATGATCTCTTTGTACCAGCAGGGGGACTGTTGTCTGCTGTGGAGTAGAAGCAGAGGAAGGGTTTAGGCAATTATAGACTTTGGTTCTCAAAATGATTAAACCCGGGTGGCTGGTCTCAGACGATTTTGGAGGTGAAGATGCTGGATGTGGAGGTCCTGGGCTGGTGTGGTTACACGTGGTCTGCGGTTGTGAGGCCGGTTGGATGTACTGCCAAATTCTCTGAAACGCCTTTTTGGTGACGGCTTAGGGTAGAGCAATGAACATTCAATTCCCTGCAGTCAGCATGCCAATTGCACGCTCCCTCAAAACTAGCGACATCTGTGGCATTGTGCTGTGTGATAAAACTGCACATTTTAGAGTGGCCTTTTATTGTGGCCAGCCTAAGGCACACCTGTGCAATAATCATGCCGTCTAATCAGCATCTTGATATGCCACACCTGTGAGGTGGATGGATTATCTCAGCAAAGGAGAAGTGCTCACTAACACAGATTTAGACAGATTTGTGAACAATATTTGAGAGAAATAGGCTTTTTGTGTACATAGAAAAAGTCTTAGATCTTTGAGTTCAGCTCATGAAAAATGGGGGCAAAAACAAAAGTGTTGCATTTATAATTTTGTTCAGTGTATTTTGAGTCTATAGAATAAGTTTAAAGGCATAGTTCAACCTTCAACAAATTCATTTAATATACTCTTCCACATTGTACCAAAATAGTTTGACTTTTTCTACTATAAAACACAAATGATGTGAAAAACGTTGCAGCTTTTTTTGTCCATACAATAAGTCAATGGGGTCAAGTGTTTTTTAAACCACTTTAACTAACGCCAAAAAAAAAAAAAAAAAAAGATAAAACGTTCCTCAAAATTTGTGTTCCACTTAAGAAAGTAAGTCATATAGGTTTGGAACAACATGAGGGTGAGTAAATGTAAGAATTTTCATTTTTTGAGTAAACCATTCCTCTACTTAATGATTGCAAAATAATTCTCAAAATTACTAGTTGATCTCTAATCGCCTGAAAGTCTTTTACAAGACTATTTGATTTAAAAAAAAATTGGAAAGCTCATATTTTACTTGTCTGATTTAAATATTTACATGAGAACATTTTTACAGTCTCCATAAATAAATTGTACAGAAATGCAAGAGTGACAATTAATATCTGACCTCCCTGAAATTATCGACCGACCAGTAGTTTGCAGGCAGGTTGATTTTCTAGACATTCTCACCTCCTGCGTTCTCAGAAGTGCCTTTTTCGTCTTTTTGGTCCTCTTTCTCATCATCTTCATTCATCTTCTCCTCCTCACTACTCTCCTTGTTTTCATCTTTGTCTGCTTGGATTTCATCCTCTTCGCTTAAGCACAGAAATCCTTCTTTAACCTCTGGATCACAGTTCAACCCAGAGGGGGAAGCAGAAAGAGAAGAGGAGGAACTTTTATTGCTTGTCTCCTTTTTCTCTTCGGCAGCCACAAGGGGGTCGTCAAGATCCATAGAAGGCGAGGTAGTTTGTGTGTTGGGTGGAGAAGGGGATCGAGAGAGGGTGAAAGATGGAGAAGGGGAACCGCGAGCTGAATCAGGGGCAGGTGACATCAATTCGGCCTCTTTATGATTCAAGTCTTTCTCCTTGACTTTCTCTTTCTCCTTTTCGGTGTGGGCGCCATTCACCAGTGGTGTCTGAGGTCGTGAGGAGGAAGATGAGTAAGAGGCAGAGCAGGAGGTGGTGGTTGTCAAGGTGTTGTGCAGAGCTTCCAGTTGCTGCCGATCGCTCATCTTCATCGTTTTGCGTGCACGAAAGATTTTCTTCTGAGGTTCCTCTGGTACAGCAACTTCCATTTTCACCTGTGGAAAAATGGTGGGAGGATATGGTCAAACAAATGTTCGATATCCTAAACAGGCTAGTTAGCTAAACTCCATCCAGTACTCAACACATTTGATTAATCTGACTAAGTAAAAGTGCTTTAACTGAAGTGTGGCCACAAGGTGTCACTGTCACTCATCTAAATGCCATTTCCTGCTGTTCTAGAATTTTCTCTTGGCCTCGATCACAAAAGCTTTCTTTAACTGTAACAAAAAAGTAACCACAACCCTGGACTAAGACTTTGGCTAAACTACCATCTAAAAAAATTGTCAAAGTAAAAGTACTAAACTATTTAGATCCGTTTGCCCACACTATCAGTCTGCGCTGAAGCACCTTTCTGATTAACAAGTTCACAAACCACCTGGAATCTGTTGTGAATGTAGTTGAACCTAACGAAAACCAATAACCTTCCTCAGTTCAATTGACATAACTAGCGAGCTGGTAGGGCCGTAACAGTCAGCAGTGCATGTGATTTCAGAATCCTGAGAGCAGACTTTGTGTCCTCCCCCTCAACGTGATTGGTGCAATTCCTAACCAATGAGAGCAGCACTCTACAGAATCTGCTAGCGACAAGAGGAGTTCATTATATAATGCAGATTTTCAAAGCTACTATCGGACTTAACCTAGACTAGTACTTCAGTCTCAAGTGTTACTCACAAAAAGACATTAGTTTGTCTTACCAGGCTTCTGTGATGTCTCGTACTTTCCTGTTCATGGATTTGAAAGCCAGTCACTTGAGGATCCTAAAAAAATAAAAATTGAAATATTAGGTTTTTAAATGTAGTAAGAAATTATTTTGCACATATTCAAACTCATTTCTGCTGCATGACTTTGTGTGTTTAACTATTAGTTCTTCAACTGAAAACCTGATTCAAACATCCTTCAGTTCCTTTTTAAGTACAGCAGTTGTTCTCAAAATGTTATGCAATCATAATAGTTTTAACGTAACACACGAGCACTGACATATTCTTGGTTATCTAGTAATCTAGTCGACATACTTCCTTAGTTCTATGAGTATGACTTACAATCCATGCTGAATCTGCAACCAAATGTTATGACAAAGATCACATATGATAAACTCATTGGAAGCAGAGTAAAAATAACATTCTATAGAGAGAAACAAAGAACTTGAGCTAAAAAATAAACCTCATAAAGCTGGCGACATCCTGCAAGTACAAGTAGATAACACTTATTTTAGAAAAGAATCAGTACATCACACAATATGTGGTACAGAAGTACATTGCGATTTGTTGTTATGATAAGTCAAGGTAATATTAAAACCTATTTGCAAACTAAAAAGACCAAATTTTACAGAAGGACAGGGATTTTTAAATTTAAAAACTAATTATGGTATGGTGGTGTTCTCATTCATTGCTCTCAGAGCTAAAAATAGTACACAAAGAATAGCCACCTGGCATAGTTCTTAATTATAAACTCAAGATGTGATGCACGAAAAATAGTCTTGCCTGAAAATAGTGGTACTTTAGCATCAAACGCTAAAACTTTTCTAAAGAGGACACCTCTCAGCCAGAACAAACAGATATAAATCAGAATACAGTAAAAACTCAAAATAACTAAATATTTACAATAAGCAGTTTCCTGTATTTTTCAATATTCACACGAATAAGAGTTGAGCAAGTTGCTAGCATTGAAATTAGCTTGCTATTAGCATCAAAGCATCTTCCTGGATGCAAACAATTAATCTGTCTTGATTTCATTCTAATGCTTCATATCAACTTTACTTTAGTTATTCTCATCTCAGCTTCTTTGTTTTACTACACATCCCATAAAATATCTTGCAAAGAGCTGCAAGCATAAATCCACAGGACGTCGCATTGCTGCTGCACTGCCACATTAACAATCATCATCCTGGCAGGTGTAAATGATGTGGCTTCTATATTATATACCAAAATCTCATCCTCCTTGACCATTTGCAACACCTGTCAAGAGCCATTCCTCCGAGGTTTGGTATCAATGACAACAACGAAAAAGATTTACGTAATTCAATTGAAGGTTTTATAGCTTTGACTAATTTTTCTTCCGAAACTGCTGAGTCAGGAGCAAGACAGGTGACTAGACTGTACAAGACACAAATGAAGGTGTCAAGTCAGTTGAAGAGAGATAGCAAATTAAGGTGCCATTAGTAACCCATAAGAAAAACAAGTAACATTTTCATATTCCAACATGTCATCAACCCGAAAAGGACAGACAAATGTGACAAAAACTAAACCGTAATAAAATGCATCTCTGTATTCCTCCATCTCCTCAGTTTTATGTCCATAAAAAAGGACATTCATTTTATAAAAATGGCTGCTAGCTTCTGGAAAGCTTGTTCTTCTAATGCTGATCACCGCGCACAGCCTCACTGTGGCCCTCCCCCACCCCGACTGTAAACATTAGCGCTGAGGTTCCCACTCGTTGCAAAATGGTCGCCAGAGCTGCGGTGTAAAGCCAGGCTCAGTTCTACATTACTCCTCATCCTGAGGCTCAGACCTGAATCCACAGAATTTGTGGTCACTTTCAACCAAAGCTGATTTCAAAAACAACCTCTTGCAGATTGCCAGTAAAGAACTGTTTGCGAAACAAACATCATACTTCGTCTTGAACACAAGTTACAAGGTCGATACCTGCCTGATAGCTTACCATAGAAAAATGATTTCAGGTATAAAAAAAGAAAAGAAAAAAAAAAAAAATTTTTTAATCTAAACTAAAGCAACCATTAAATCTAAAATAATAAATCACAATCGTTCCTAGCAAAAAGCATTAAATATGAAAAGATCGCAAAGAATTACATTCGTTTACGGATTACACGCAATCAGCACTTCCTAGTGCGAAAACCCAAAGCATTAATCAAATTTTATAGTCGAATGTAAAATGGACGATCCCAATCATGTCAGAATTGCAAAATTCTCACTAACGGCCAAAACGAACGCAAAAATAAAAATATTCGCAAAAATGTCAACGTCCACAATAATACAAAAAGATGAAAAAACGTTTAGAATTCATGTAAAAAAAAAAAAATCCACCAAAAAGTCCATTAATCTTGAGAAACACTATTTAATGTGAATGTGAATTTAAAAAAAAAAAATTGTTTAAGAACCAAAACAGCTCGAAAACAACCTTGAGGTGTAGTCTTCAGGAGTAGGCCTTGATTAGTAGTGAGCGCGAAAAAACAGGAGCATGCCTAGTTCCCAACTAGCTCAAAGCACACACACAACACAGAAAAGATGAACAGAGAGAGACAGAGAGAACGGGAGGGGGAAGGGATCTCGCGTGCGGAGAGGCGGAGCACATTCTTTGTAAGGTGTTGGCTGTAACCAGAAAAAAAGAAAAAAAAAAAACTGTAGCTACACACAATTGTAGCGTTACAACCAACAGGACAGCGTTATATGAAACAAAAGGTCACTTTTTGACTCCTTATGAGACTGTGAGATGATTCATCACCTCATGAAAGCTCACTGATCGACCAGCGGTATTCTAAAACCTAAAGGTGTTCCAAAATATGGCATTCAACCAAAAACCTTTAGAAATCAGAGGAAAATAAAGAAGAATAAAAACCTCAGCAGCAAGAAAGAAAAACTGCCCCCTCCCCCACTGCTGCAGGCACAGAGAAAACAGGGTGGAAAATTACTGCTATGTGGATCGTACCATTTCAACATAGGAGGGGTGTCTTCACATGCACCACAAGGTGTCAACACAAGAGGGAGCACAGCAAAAATGAATCTCCTTTGCTTTTTAAACATACAATAAATAATAATTTGCCTATATGGATTTTTCAAATGCATATTTTTCAGTGAATAACTCCGTAGTAATCTCTATACAGCACAAACATCTTTTGGCAGTAGCTTTGCACAGAACAGGATTATGAGGTAAAAGGTAAAAAATGCCGTCACATACAAATGTAAATAACTTTTGACAACAAAACAAGCTATAGCCACCATCTTCAATATACAATGCCAGACAATTAAGCATGTTTAGCATATCTGATCACTTCTGACTATTCCTTCTTACAAAAAGAGGTGAGTCACATTGAATCACTGACAGCTCATGAGCATTTCACACCTCTGCAGAAATTTGTGAGTCTCTTTGTGATTGTGATTAATCACATGAAAACGCATAATTTATTCTGCTTAAATTTTGGATTTTCTTGTGAGCTATTCCCAAAGGCAAGCTGATTAAATGGGAAACAAATCCCTATAATACTCTTTTCATTGTTTTCCTAGTAAAGGGTCATTCGTAAAACTATCCTGAAAACCAGACTAAAAGTCACCAACTACATTTTATTAGACGTAGCAGCTAGCGTATGTGCTTCGACACATTTAACTCTAGCGTTCATGTAGCCGATGCAAGTTCTAATCCAGCTCGTGACATTTTCTGATCTCCTGTTTTCCCCATCCTTTCCTCTCTCTACTGTGCCTATAAATAAAAGTGACAAAGGCGGCATAAAAAAGCCTACATTCAGTCCATGAGAACAAAGAAAAGGACCTTCATTATCCAAACAAATCAATTCTAGTTCAAATGGCTGATAGGTCTACTGTCAATTTCCACACAAGTCTTAAATTAAAAAAGAAAAATTAGCACAACAGATTTTACAGATCTCGTAAAACCCTTACGACATTTGTTGCAACTGATTGAGTTCCTAACAGACAGTAAATACTGATGAGTTTCCACATAGTCAGAGGTCCGACACGGTTTCCTAACCAGACGCGACACGATCAATGCGCTCTTCCACATTAATCTGCACTTCTGTCTTAGCCATGACAAGCCACACTGCATTTCGCCAGTCTCTTGGTTTCCTTTTTTTATGCATATTATCGGGTAGCTCCGCCCATTTTCAGAAAAATCTGATGCAACAAATACCTCAAGATCCACAAGGATATTAAGAAAAATGATGCTGTCTGGAAAAGCAGCATGGAAGTCTTGAAAACACAAGGTTTGTGTTCTTAGAGTCATGACATTCAGCAGTAGTGTGCAAATACATTGCAAGGGCAAGAGAATGTGCAAACTGAGAAAACCACATGCTAATCTGATTAGATGTGATTGTTGCATTTCAGAGTGGACAGAAAAGATCGTTCGGCGTTAAAATCTAGTTGCACGACACATGTCTCCTGCACAGAGCTTGTCAATGTCCCTTTTGTGTTAACATATTTTGGCGGCATCCACAATCAATAAACATACAAAGGTACACACACACACAATGAACCTAATACTTCTCAGGTGCATCCTATGATCTTGAGAGAACGCAAGCACGTCTAGCCAACTCAACTCAAGGAACACCCCCAAGTGTGAATGGAAGGGAAAGAGTTCTTTGCCTCAAATCTACCATGCATGCAAACGTGTTGACTTGCGGTGCACTCATGGCCTAATGGTTAGAGAGTCAGACTTATAACCCAAAGGTCACGGGCTCGAGTCTCGGCAGGGATTGTAGGTGAGTGGAGTGAATGTACAGTACTCTCTTCCACCTTCAATACCACGACTGAGGTGAGACCCTTGAGCACGGCACCAAACCCCCAACTGCTCCCCGGGTGCTGCAGCAAAAATTGCTGCCCACACACAAAAAGTGTAAAATGGGAAAGGGAAAGAAGTTCTTAAATTTTACTGGGGGTGAGACTCAGTGAGAACACTCACTCCTCCCCACTGCTGAAGAATGGTAATGAAAAAAGGTATTAAAAAAAAAAAAAAAGGACAGACATGGATCGTACGATAACTAAAAGGGATGTGGAGATGCAGAACGTTGAATATA